TAGTTGGTACTCCTGGATCTCCTAGTTTCTTAGGTATTCCACCCTTAAAAGTATAATTAGCAATCATGATGGAAATTTCAGCCTCCGGTATCTTTCTTTTATTTGTAATAATATCCTTCATGTACTTAGCATACGGATTTACTTTAAGCATATCAGTTAAACGCATACGTAAGAAGATAGGTCTAATCATTTCAGCAAAGCGCTCAAAATCCTCATCATCCTTTTTCTTGGATGGCTTAGGAGAAAAAGACATGGGTTACTGAACCCATGGTTCTCTTTCTTTACCATGCTTCCTAGCAACAAAGTCTCTCTTATCATAACATTGATTTTTTGATGGTGGGTTATCAAGATCAACAGCAGGTTCAATCTCTACATCATTAATATTGCTAGGTTGAGCATTAATGTGAACATTGAGCATCAACGTGAACATTATTATTAATATTATCACCAGGTTCATGTTCATCACCAGATTGTGTTTCAACATTAGAAATAGAAATATCATTGGGATTCTCAGGTGTTTCTACAATAGATTCACTAGAAGCATGCAAAGTCCTATCATTTTTCTTTTTCTTCCTTTTAGAAGGACCAGGTGCATCTAAATTATTTCTCTGGGAATCTTGCTCAATTCTCTTAGGGTGGCCTTCAGGATACAAAGGTTCCTGAGTCATTTTACCAGTTCTAGTATCCACTCTAACAGCAAAATCATGTTTACTATTCAATTCATCGAGCAAATCACTTTGAACCTTAAGTACTTGTTCTGCTTGAGTGGTAACCATAGAAGCATATTTACTAATGAGTTTAAGTTCACATTTAACTCTAGCCATATAATAACTCAAGCGTCCAATCATGTAAGAATTACTCTTTAATTCTCTACCAATATAAGCGTTGAAATTTTCTTATCTAGCCATAAAGTCATCAAATTCATCTAAACATTGGCTAGGAAACTTAGTAGACGGGATTTCAACCTTATCATGTCTATAGAGAGAATTTACCTTTACTACCTGGGTCGGGTTATCAAGACCATGTGTTTCTTCAATAGGTAGTATATTAAGACCATGTGTTTCTTCAATAGGCCAGAAAATAGTCTTGATAACCCAAGAGTACAGGGGATCGCAACATTTTTTGAGGGTAGAGTATTCAACCCAAATTTATTGATTCGACACAAGGGGAGCCAGAGAATATTCTCAAGTATTAGCAGTTGAGTTGTCAATTCAACCACGCCTGGATAACTTAGTATCTGCAGCAAAGTATTTAGTAGCAAAGTAGTATGGAAGTAACGGTAACAGTAGCAAAAGTAACAGTAGTAGTTTTGTAGTAATTGTAACAGTAGCAACCGTAAAGTAAATAAGCAAAGCACAATGTGTGAAAAGCTCGTAGGCATTGGATCAGTGATGGATAATTATGTCGGATGCGATTCCTCATGTAATAGTTATAACATAGGGTGACACAGAACTAGCTCCAATTCGTCAATGCAATGTAGGCATGTATTCCGAATATAGTCATACGTGCTTATGGAAAAGAACCTGCATGACATCTTTTGTCCTACCCTCCCGTGGCAGCGGGGTCCTAATGGAAACTAAGGGATATTAAGGCCTCCTTTTAATAGAGTACCGGACCAAAGCATTAACACATAGTGAATACATGAACTCCTCAAACTACGGTCATCACCGAGAAGTAACCCGATTATTGTCACTTCGGGGTTGTCGGATCATAACACATAATAGGTGACTATAGACTTGCAAGATAGGATCAAGAACTCACATATATTCATGAAAACATAATAGGTTCAGATCTGAAATCATGGCACTCGGGCCCTCGTGACAAGCATTAAGCATAGCAAAGTCATAGCAACATCAATCTCAGAACATAGTGGACACTAGGGATCAAACCCTAACAAAATTAACTTGATTACATGGTAAATTTCATCCAACCCATCACCGTCTAGCCAGCCTATGATGGAATTACTCACGCACGGTGGTGAGCATCATGGAATTGGTGATGGAGGATGGTTGATGATGACGATAGCGACGAATCCCTCTCTCCGGAGCCCTGAACAGACTCTAGATCAGCCCTCCGGAGAGAGATTAGGGCTTGGCCGCGGCTCCGTATCGTAAAACGCGATAAATCTTTCTCTCTGATTTTTCTCTCCGTGAGAGCAAATATATGGAGTTGGAGTTGAGGTCGGTGGATGTCTAGGGGGCCCACGAGGCAGGGGGACGCGCCCAGGGGGTAGGCGCGCCGCCCACCCTCGTGGACAGGGTGTGGGCCCCCTAGCCTTGATTCTTTCGCCAGTATTTTTTATTAATTCCAAAAATAATCTCCGAGGAGTTTCAGGTCATTCCGAGAACTTTTGTTTCTGCACAAAAATAACACCATGACAATTCTGCTGAAAACAACGTCAGTCCGGGTTAGTTCCATTTAAATCATGCAAATTAGAGTTCGAAACAAGGGCAAAAGTATTTGGAAAAGTAGATACGACGGAGACGTATCAACAGGCTGAATATTCTACTTCTATTTTTTGTTTCTTTTCTTTTTTAGTTTCTGTTTCTATTTCTTTATGTTTTTTTTCAAAATTTTAGAACTTTGTAAAATTTATTTGCAAATTTAGGAAAATGTTCGTTTTTAAAATTTTTGTTCGTGAGTTTCAATAAATGTTCCTATTTTAAAATTGTCCATGTTTTCAAATTTTGTTTGCATTCGAAAAATGTTTAGGAATTTCAAAAAGTGTTCCAGCTTTCCAAATTTGTTCACAAATTTATGAAATGTTCATGTTTTCAAACTTTGTTCACAAATTTATAAAATGTTTATGTTTTCAAAGTTTGTTCACAAATTTAAAAAACTTTTGTAAATTCCATAAATTTTGTTTGGGAGTTTGAAAAAATGTCCCTGTTCCAATTTTTTTTCGCAAATTTAGAAAAATGTTCATATTTACAAGCTTTGTTCGAAAAAAGTTCCATTTCCAAAATTGTTTGCAAATTTAAAAAAATATTCGTTTTTTCAAATTTTGTTTTGGAGTTTCAAAAAAATGTTCTCATGCAAAAGTTGTTTGTGTTTCCATATTTTGTTTTGAAATTTGAAAAAATGTTCTTGTTCAGTTTTTTAGGTAGTTTAAATGTTTCCGTTCTAACAAATATGTTTGCGTCCCCAAAATTTTTTTGTGTGTTGAAAAATGTTTGAGTTTTCTCAAAATTTATAAAAAAGTTAATAATGTTCACGTTTGATAAAACATTCACGTTTTGTTTTTGGGAAAAAATGTTTTTTGTTCGAATTTTCAAAAATTGTTCAGAAATTCAAAAATGTTCCCATTTTCAAATTTTGTTCAGGGTTGAAGTTTTTTAAAATTGTCCAGAAATTTGTAAATGTTCCATTTTTCAAATTTTGTTCACAATTTTAAAAATGTTTGCACTTTTCAAAATATTCTCCATTTTGTTCATGTTATTTAGAAAATTTTTGGGTGTTCAAAAAAATTCCCTTTTGAAAAAAGCACAATAAGGGGATCTTCGGTTCGATCCCTTATTCGGACTTTAACTTTTGCAAATCTTTTACACTTTTTCCGCTGTTGACAGTTTCTTTTTTGATTTGCGCTGCTAATCTAACACAATACCTGGTCTAGCGCAGTGGCTTTCACAACACGCTCATTACTACCGAGGTGGAGGTTTGAATTCTAGCACTAGCGCATTTCTTTTTTGCTGTTTTTCACCTTGCGGACGCCAAATGGGCCGGCCTGTGCGGCACGTCGACTCTTTGACGCAAAAAGCGTCACATAAGAGCTCCCGCGTCTGCGTGTCATGCGGTGCGAGGGGCGGGCCGTTCCGGCCCGTTGGCCAGTTTGGCCGCGGGGCCTCACAATGGTTTCATTCCTTGCAGATGGATGTGGGCACCCCCCACCCACATGCTCATCTGCAGACAGCTAGCTCAATTATTGCATCCCTTCTCCCAGAGTGACCGTTGACCTGATAGCCTCATCCCCTTCTTCTCCTTTGCTAGGCAAGTAAATCTGAAGCTCCATCGCCTTCACTGGGAAGCAAGCAGGTAAATCTGTCCAAGTAAAATAGTAGATCTTTGCTGGGATGTATATGTACTCGATTTTGGGGATCTGCCGTCTGCTGATTCATCATTTATCGCTGCTCTCTGCGCATATTTACCACCATTTTGAAGTGGCTGTGGTTCATTCGGTTGCTTCGGATTTGAAGGGGATTGACAGGGATTAAATCCCCTGCAAGTCAAAATCCCCTAAAATTCTCTCCAATCCCCCCCCCCACCCCCCACCCTGTAGAGGCGATTAACCGTAGGCGTGCAAGTATATAAGAATTTTTCTGTTTTTCTGGGTTACTGTACTACTAAAAACGACTGCCAATCCGATTGCTTAAATCTTCGGGAAAAAGGTTGGTGCTGCTAGTTTTTGCTTGATATATGATGGTTTGCTGCTGATGCTCGTGGGTCTCTGCATTGGTTGTAAAAAGTTGATCTGCTCGTTCGTTATACTACCTTGTAGTCGATCTGGGGGCTGGCTTAGTGCGGCCTCGGCCTGAACTTCTAGCCTTAGCTGTAGCTCTTATTTTCGGTCTACCAGGATGCTTCATCTATGTTTTGTTCCGTCATCGTAATGATAGTGGAATCCGGCCATGAGGTCGTTGGAAAAAAACTGTTTTATTTTTCATGTTTACTTGGTCGCAGCTGATAATCTTATCATAGTCCTGTTTTGGAGAGCGAAAACAATCGCATGTAGCACCAATATCGTCTATGTCATGTAATGCTTACGGTGGCTAGTCCTGTTCTCAAAGCAGAAAAGAAAAAGGGAGGGTCAACATCGAAATTAGTGCTTTCAATTTTCTGCATAATGGGAGAGTGATCTTAATTTGTTTGTTAGGTACAATAATCGATCTATATTACTTCATTAGTTAGCTTCGGAGTGAGTGGGGATTTGGGCCTAGTATCTAGGTCATACATACATAACGAGTTTGCTCTTGTTTCCAGGTTAAATTACATACTGACTGCAAATGGAATACAAAGTTTGTACACGAAGTGACCTCGAGAAGATGTTAGTTGATGAAACAGCGGAGCCCAGGGACCTGCCATTATCACTCCTGAAGGACATCACTAACGATTTCTCCGATGACCTGAAGATTGGAAGCGGTCGATTTTCTGTGGTTTATAAGGTAGTATACATGCACGAGTGTCCTAATCCTAATCACACTTGTTTTGACTTTTGAGAACTCAAACCCATGCTAACACTTGTGAGTGATAGGGAATACTTGGCGACAAGTCGGTTGCAGTGAAGAAGTTGTCCAACGCTTATATGCATGAAAGGGAGTTTCACCAAGAGGTTGAATGCCTGATGCGGGTAAAACACAAGAATATAGTAAGATTTCTGGGATATTGTGCTGATACACAAGGAACTATGGCAAGTTACAACGGAAAACTTGTCATGGAAGAAGTTCATCAAAGTTTGCTTTGCTTCGAGTATATACCTAATGGGAGTCTTGATAAATATATCACCGGTACGACCATGCGGCCTCTAAATTTTGTTACTATTATTCCATATACTAAAAATTGTGTAATGTGTCCCAATTTATAAGCCCGGTTTCTCCTATACCCTTTACAGATGCATATCGTGAGTGGCGAACATGCTACAAAATAATTAAAGGGATTTCTGAGGGCCTGCAGTTCCTTCATGAGAATCATATCATTCGCTTGGATCTGAAACCTGCCAATATACTGCTCGACGATAGCATGGTACCGAAAATCACTGATTTTCGCCTGTCTAGATGCTTTCACGAAAATCAAAGACAGGATATTACCAAAACTACATTAGGAACAATGTAAGCTAGCTAACTCCTCTTGAAAGCTAAGTTGTTTTTTCTATGAATTGCACTCTCTTTGTCCATTAATCCGTCAGGTCTTTTCTATTTTCATACAGGGGATATTTGGCACCAGAACTTTTGGAAGGGGATGCAATCACATGTAGTGCTGACTTGTATAGTCTTGGTGCCATTATCACAGAAATACTGACCGGGCAGAAGGGGTATCAAGCTACTGAGGAAGTAAGAACAATATATGCCATTTTGACAATGCTAAAAACTCAATTTCCTTTTTGGCTAAGAAGGATGGTCTTAAATAGATCACTCTTTTACTTTGCATATTGTTATTAGATTTAGTTTGAGATGTAGCAGAATATCATTTGTGGATGCACATCTAGTAGTGGAAAGTACAATTTTGGCTGCAAAAGAATCAACACAACAGATTTCCCTTTAGAGGAATTTTCTTCTCAGTTTGATGCTTGATGTATGAAAGTGCAATTTCCATTGTGATAGATCTGACTCGAATTTATTAGGACACGCTCTACTTTTTAGAGAGTTTTTGTTCTCAGTTTGATGCTTGAATGTGTGGTTGCTATGTACTATACATATGATTCCTATATAGAAAGATGTTGTTGATCCATTTCAAGCACATCTAGTAGTGGAAAGCACAGTTTTGACCGCAAAAGAATCAACACAGCAGATTTCCCTTTAGAGAAATTTTCTTCTCAGTTTGATGCTTCATTTATGAAAGTGCAATTTACATTGTGATAGATC